AGGCACGATCAAACTTCGGTCCTCCAGGTGTTTTGAACTTCAACTCCCACAATTCCTAATGGCCAGGCTGTTAGGAATTGTGTGAGTTGAGCTCCAAAACACCTGGAGGGCCTAAGTTTGACAATGCCTTCTCAAGAACCTTTCTTGTAAGGGGTTCAGGACAATATATACTGGTCTCCTCCATCCCCAACCCATTTTATCCTGACAATCTTCCAAACAAGTAGAGAAAGTGATTGGCCCAAGTGCAATGGTTCTCAACCTGTGGGTCCCCAGGTGTTTTGGCCTACAATTCCCAGAAATGCCAGCCAGTTTACCAGCTGTTAGGATTTCTGGGAGTTGAAGGCCAAACCATCTGGGGACTCACAGGTTGAGAACCAATGACCTAGTGAATGACATAGCTGACGGAGATATGAACCTCAGTTTCTACAGTCGTAGCTGGACTGTTCACAAAAGCAGAACTTGGAACTATTTTTTGCACTGTCTCCCAAAATCCCCAGCTAGTATTGCCAATGGCCCTCTGGTTGGAGGTCCAATAGCTCTCCTGCATTTTACAGCCACTTCCCCTCACTCGTTTGCTATAAAGCTGTAGCTAAGACAAAAGGTTAAGCTCCTGAGGAGCTGACACTAAATTGGAGTTGCAGTTGGAGCTGTTTGGTGTAATCTGTGACCCAAAACACATCCCAGTCATTTCTACTGTAAGGCTATTTTTTTTTATTAATCCCACTTACATTATGCTCCATACACAAAGATCACCTGCATGCAAACTATCTCTTTAATTCCAAGGTGGGAATGTGGACTTCCACACAGGTAACGTTTCATGCCCCTGACCTATTTCACCATGTAGAACTATTATGGTTTGTGTTAGAGTTACTCATTTTCGGAAAGTTTTCTCAAATTAGCAACTCTCTTCTGTAAAGGCTGAGCATCCCTGATCCAGAAATCTGAAATACTCCAAAATCATCCACAGAGGTGGCTGAGGCAGTGAGACCTCTGCTTTCTGATGGTTCGATGTACACAAACATTATTTCATTCACAAAATTATTTAAATGGTGGGTTTATAATGACCTTTGGGCTATATTTATAAGGAGTATATGGAACATAAGTTAATGTCATGTTTACACTTGGGTCCCACCTCCAAAGCATTTCATTACCTATATGCAAGTATTCCAACATCAGAAAAAAAGGTAAAATATGGAACACTACTAGACCCAAACAGTTCAGATAAAGGGTGCTCAATCTGTAAGCATTTGTTTGACCCAGAACCCTGAATGCTGCAGAAGTTTGGGGGCATCTTCTACCAGACAGTTTATGTGATGACCAAGAGGGAATGGTAAGCCCACACAAACATAGAACATTAGTAAATTTGCCAAAAAGTGTCATTCTGGCAAAGGAAGAAACAGCAGGTTAGAGACAGAAAAAAATAACATTGCTGCCTATGCCTTTTTGTTTGTTGTTGTGTGACTTCAGGTAGTTTGTGACTTATAGTGGCCCTAAGGCCATCCTATTGCCAGGTTTTCTTGGCAAGACTTGTTCAGAGAAGGTTTACTATTACCTTCCTATGAGGCTATGACTCTACCAAGGTCACCCAGTGCGTTTTCATGGTCAAGTGGGAGTTTGAACCCTTATCTCCAGAATCACAGTCCAACAATCAAAGCACTACACCATGCTTGCTTTTTAATTATTTCTACTTGTGAAAACAAGAGTGTCAGCTGTGTTGATTCGTGATTACATCCCATTGGTACCACTGTTAGAGGACACTCCACATGGGGCTGCTTTTGGAAAGTTTTGGGAAGCCAGTCCAAAATGCTGACCAGGGTCAATCATAGGGAGAAAGTAATTCCCTTGTTGTTTGCCTATTGGTTCAATTTCCAGGCACAATTCAAAGAGCTGGTCATGACCTACAAAGCTCCATATGGCTTGGGTCCAGACTACCTGAAAGGCTGTATCTCTCGAAATGAACCTGCCAGAGCTTTAGGATCCACAGAAGAAAGCTTTCTCTTGGTCCTGACACCACCAAAGGCTTGCCTGTTGAGGACAAAAGAGAGAGCCTTTTCAGTGGCCCTTTCATAAGAGATGAGGTTGACCCCCTCCCTGCTTTCTTTTCACTGGCAGAGAAAGACCTTGCTGTTCAAGCGGGCTTTTAGCATGTAAACAGGGAGCTTTTTATGTAGATATTTTACTCTTCCAAAACTTTTAAAACACGTTTTATATGGTTTTAATTGTTTTATTTTAAGAATGACTAGCCCCAATGGTCCAAAATGAATGACAGCACAGTATTTTCACCCCATGCCCTTGTTCCTTAGATACAACTTGCACTACTCCATTCCCTTGTCCTGTTTCCAGTCTGGCCATGTCTTACGATAGTTGCCACCACAGGTTATTGGGCACTGTTCTGAGATTCAAACTGTTGTTTTACAGGCTATATGTTTTACTTTATTGTATTCTATTGTGTGTTTATTTTATGCTCTGTTTTAGGCACTTTCTGCCATATGTAAGCCACCCCAAGTCCCTTCAGGGAGGTGGAAGTGGGGTATAAGAATAAAATAATAATAATAATAATAATAATAATAATAATAATAATAATAATAAGGCTTAGGTAAGTTTGTTCGTTAGATTCTAAAATTGTAATTAATTCGGATTAAATTACCTTTTGATCCAATTTTGAGCCATGCAGGAATAGTGGGAGGAGCAATTCCGAACTGAAGCAACTCCCCCATTGTTTGGAATTATTTTCGGATGTGGCTTTGCACGCCCGGCGATGCAAAGAGGGGCGAGGTGGGCGTGGCTAAGAACAGCTCTTCCTGAAGGCCACTGGGGAAGTGGCCTTCAGGAAGAGCTGTCCTTAGCCACGCCCACCTCATCCCTCTGCATCACAGTTTGCCACAAGCGAAGGAAGGAAGACTGCAAGATTTTAATGGTTCTGGAGGGAGGGAGGGGCACCTTCCATTAACGAAGCAAACGAAGCAATTCGTATTTCCTGATATTTCCAATCTTTTTTTCAATAACATTTCGGAAATAATTTCAAAATCGAATTGCCAGCGCCCCCTACATCTGAAACGAGTTTTGAACCTTTTTTTTTTATCAACCAAGCCTAATTATTATTATTACGAGGGTTATCAGAAAAGTAAGGTTACAAGGCACATAGCTCTTGCAGGGAATTTTCGCTGGAGAACTTGATATCACTGCCATGTCGCGGGAATCCAGCGGAAGCAAACGAGCAGTGCCAGTCATCAGTAGCTCATCTACTGGTACTGTGGTGAAGGTGGCTTCAAACTAAGAGAGGATGGCTTCAAACTACAAGAGAGGAGATTCCATCTGAACATGAGGAAGAACTTCCTGACTGTGAGAGCCGTTCAGCAGTGGAACTCTCTGCCCCGGAGTGTGGTGGAGGCTCCTTCTTTGGAAGCTTTTAAACAGAGGATGGATGACCATCTGTCAGGGGTGATTTGAATGCAACATTCCTGCTTCTTGGCAGGGGGTTGGACTGGATGGCCCATGAGGTCTCTTCCAACTCTTTGATTCTATGATTCTAAGGTTAGAGATGAGTGTCCTCGTTTCCCTCCAAGTGCGAAGTTCGCACTGTAATATGTTACCTAAACGCTAAGGGCATGAATGCCACTGTGATTCACTGCAAGATCATTTCAGTTTATGGAGAGGACGTAATGTCAAGAGAGCATGTGGAATTTCAACTGCGGAAGACAGAAGTGCATGGCCATCTGTTGTGACTGATGACGTGGCTGAAAAAGGCGGCAGGAGGCTTCTATGACACAGGTATCAAAAAACTCATCCCACAGATGACAAAATGTATTGAACTGAATGGTGATTATGTGGAAAAATAATGTAATACCAATGCTAAAATTCATGTAAGTTTTATTAAAATATATTCATTCTTTGAATTTTAAAAAAATCCAGATATCCCTTGTACAGCACAAACTTCGCATTTGGAGGGAAATGGAATGAGGATGCTCATCTCTAAACTTCACCACAACGCCAGTCAATGAGCTACTGATGGCTGGCATGGCTTGTTCGCTTCTGCTAGATTACCGCTACACAGCAGTGATACCAACTTCTCTGGCAAAAATTCCCCACGAGAGCTACATGACTCGTTACCTTACTTTCTGGATAACCCTCGCATTACTGTGAATTTTTAATATTTTTTTGAAGCTGCCTTGGATTCCAATCTGGAAGAAGGGCTGCATACAAATTCAACAAATAAATGGCTCTCATCCCTTTCTATAACTGACCTCTGTCAGGGGTACTTTGATTGTGGTTTTCCTGCATAGTAGGGGGTTGGACTAGATGGACCATGTGGCCTCTTTCAACTCTGTTATTCTATTATTCTATTAACAGCTTGCCAGCTTGTGGGAAGGGAAGAGGAAGAGACATTTGTATGTGTAGATGCATTGCAGCCATTTCTACTGTATGTCTGAATTCATCAGCTCTCTGGGAAGTTCAACGTTTGAATACATTCAGAACTGGAATCTATTCTAGTTCTGGAGGAGGACTTGCAAACTTTAATGCATTGGGATTTTCTAATCCTGATCATAACAAATGTTTATAGGGGCAAAAAAGAGCATCTAATTAAGGACTAAACTGAAAGTCTACCTCACTGTTTATCCTTTTTTGGGCTCCCCTCAATTACATATTTTCAATTCCTACCTCATCCAGGGTTTTATCTTTTTACCTCGTCCATTTGGTGGTGGGGTATAAATAAAGATTGTTGTTGTTGTTGTTGTTGTTGTGGTTGTTGTTGTTGTTGTTGTTGTTGTTGTTGTTATTATTATTATTATTATTATTATTATTATTATTATTATTATTATTATGTGTGCTCAATTACTATTTTCAAGAAGATCAACATAACTCTCTCCATACATAGTCCTTCACCCCACAAGAAAAAATCCCACAAAATGAAGTCATAAGTTAGATTTAAAATGTGCAACAAACAGGTCTCAGTTTTTGGTTTATCTATCTTTCCTGAAACAAATCAGCCATCTTCCTACCCTTGTGCTTCATCAGCATTTTCTCCACCTTTATGTGCAGGGCATTTCTCACTTTCTGAAGAGCAACTCCTTGAGGAAGCTACACCTGGCCTTCCTTAAACACAAGCAGGAGAAAAAGCATTAAGACATAAGCTTTTCATACATATCTGGCATTTAGTAGCCCTATATCCAGAGGTATAGGAAATCACTTTACTATGGTCTTCATTATACTCCCATTCCAATTCCCATAATTTCTATACAGAATGGACTCGCTGGCCGTTATGTCATTCCAAGTCATAACTCTGGCTGAGGATAATGGGAATTGTAGTCCCACACATCATAAAGATGCCAGTTTAGGGAAGACTGCATACATTTTTGAAAACTCAAGCCAGCCAAGGTGGAAATAAAGAGAGGGACTGAATCTTTACAGTTGCAGGAAGCTTGTACACACTTAAATGCACACACAAGCACACGTAAACACACAAGGGAAGGAAAGCCATTATAATTCTATGTAAAACTATCTTGCTAGCATTGTATTCCATTTTCTCTAATGCACCATCTTCACTGTGGGAAAATGAGAACAGACCTATGTATTTCATCACAATGGCAAACACATACACTTCTTAAGTTGTCCAGCCAGGCAACGAAAGCATGAAGTAAAACCCAAGGAGGCTTAAGAGCAAGCACCAACTTCCCACACTGCAGCTTCTCACAATGCCAGCTTCTTACTAAAATTAACCACGACAGAGAATATAAATACCTTGGTTGTGTGCATTTTCTTGGGGGCCCATCTCTCCTTCCCTATTAACATAATTTCAACCCTGAGTAAGTAATGCTAGATGTAGCACCAGTCAGTGGAGACAAAATTCAAGAACATTTAACTCTAATGTAAATAGAAAAAATAGAAAGAACTCTGTACTGCATTTCATTACATACTGGGGTCAATCAATCCATTACTGTCCTCACTAGAGGCCCATGGTGGACAACAAGCTACACATAAACCTACAATGTCATACTAAAGAAGCCAATGGGATTTTGGCCTGAATAAATAGGGAGTCTAGTGTCTAGACTCAGGGAAGTCAAGCTACCCCTCTATTCTGCCTTGGTCAGACCACACCTGGAATCACACTTTGTCCAATTCTGGGCACTGCAATTGAAGGGAGATGCTGACAAACTGGAATGCATCCAGAGGAGAGCGACTAAACTGATCAAGGGTCTGGAGATCAAGCCCTATGAGGAGCAGCTTAAAGAGCTGGACATGTTTAGCCAAAGAAGAGAAGGCTGAGAGGAGATATGATGGGAGCCATGTGTAAATATGTGAGGGGAAGTCATAGGGAGGAGGGAGCAGGCTTATTTTCTGCTGCCCTGGAGACTAGGACGTGAAACAATGGCTTCAAATTTCAGGAAAGGAGATTCCACCTGAACATGAGGAAGAACTTCCTAGCTGTGGGAGTTCTTCAGCAGCGAACTCTCTGCCCCGGAGTGTGGTGGAGGCTCCTTCTTTGGAGGCTTTTAAGCAGAGGCTGGATGGCCATCTGTAGGGGGTGCTTTGAATGTGATTTTCCTGCTTCTTTGCAGAATGAAGTTGGATTGGATGGCCCACGGGGTCTCTTTCAACTCTAGGATTCTATGATTCTATGGTTGACATTTCAGCTGGTTAGTTTCCAGTGCACACAAACTTTCTTTTACCCCACTTTCTCAGTAACAGTTCCTTTTCGAAATGAATTCCTTAAATTCCTGATCCCAGTCATTTCTTTCTCTCTCTCCTTCATATTTCAGTGTGCTACCTTCCCATTGCCTCCACCTTGTCTCTTTCACCAGCCATTTCTCTAGCTTAGGACATTGTTGTTCTTTGGCTCTCTTTTCCTTCTAAGCTGGTGCATATGATCCTTGGGAACAGGGATAGTATGAGAGTTTGGAGTCTGGAAATGTTACATTTTTGGGATAGCAATTCCCACAATCCCTTAATCAGCATAATTAAAACTCCCCCACAACACTCTGTACCTGACCCCTTGTATCTTGCACAATGCTTTCAGTCAAACACTAGATCAGTGGTTCTCAACCTGTGGGTCCCCAGATGTTTTGGCCTTCAACTCCCAGAAATCCTAAACGCTGGTAAACTGGCTGGGATTTCTGGGAGTTGTAGGCCAAAACACCTGGGGACCCACGGGTTCAGAACCACTGCACTAGATACTCACATACTGTCATGGGTATGTCCTGGCTTTCCCTGCCTTTCTGGAGACCCCTTTATTAGAAGATGAATGGAGTTAAGGGCCCCAGAAGAAGTTCTATGACTTGTTCTTCTTGTGGTACTATCATACAGGCCAGCTTTACTCAACTTGCAGATTGGAAATGATATAGTTGTGCCCCAATGGTGGGATTCATAGATGAGCAACATCTGGCAGCCTGTCATGTTTCCCAAACTGTATTACAAAATTAAGTTTGCAAACAGATTTCAGTGATGCTTAGTTATAATAAATTACACTTTAGGTGCCACAGGACTCTGGGTTTTTTAAACAGATGGATTGTGGTTGCTTTGTGCCTTTAAGTAATTTCCAATCTATGATGATCCTAAGGTGAGCCTACCACAGGGTTTTCTTGCAAGATGTGTTCAGAAGCGTTTTGGCATTGCTGAGAGAGTGTAATAAGCCCAAGATTCCCCGTAGTTAGGATTTTAGGGTTGTAGTCAATTCTAGATATCAATATTAGACATACTTTTTGCAGGTTAGTTGTATCAGCTGCTCATAAGGGCGTAAATAGATTTTGATTTGCTTATTTCATGAACTAAGGGCGTAAATAGATTTTGATTTGCTTATTTCATGAACTACAAGGCTTCAAGAAGGGCTTTACAAGACTCACATGTATAGTTTTCAGCAAAATCAAAATCCCTTGTTAAGAAACAACTAAATGTACACCTTAAAAAATGAACAAGCCTGTTAGGGATAAACATCTAAATTTATAAACATATACAAAAAGTAGAGGGCATGCTGTAATGAACACAACAGAATGGCCATGAGAAAGCATACCAGTTCCAGAAATAGTATCTTTTTCACTAGGTAGCTCTTGTAACTCCTCCTGGGCATCAAGAAGTGATGATTTGATATAGCTAGCTAGCGTTTCCACAGGGCTCCCACCACTTGCCATGAGTGGACTGTACTGGTTATCCACAGGTGAACTTCCACTGCTCTTCAGTTCATCAAATCGTTTAGCACACTGCGTGGGGGGGGGGGGGGGAAACAGAAGGCGTTTTCAGTTATAGCTCTTACCAAAAGCATGACTGAGATAAATGTCATGTGCACTTTTGGACAGGCACACAGTTAAATAAGGAACTCGGCTTTCAGAAGAATTTTTAAAGTGCCATGACTTTCTAGCACTCCATAAACATACACTTCAAAGGGGGAATTAGTGATGCCATGGTGGATGATTAGATCTATTTCATTCTCATCCATCCTTCTGAGAATGATGACTGTTTAGAAAGTATGGAACCAAGTAAAGAAGAGTCAATACCATTATTGTTGTGATCAATAGCAGCAGCACAACAGATCATCTAAAAGCACAAAAGGCTTTAAACCATTATTGTTTGAGAAAGTACCAGCCTTTGATTCTGGTTATTTCAATTGCTGCACAGCAATATGTAAGAATGAGTAAATTTGTACTAGAAGCCATAGAGTTGTGCTGGAGGACATGGAGATAATACTTTTCTAGGAATCCCTAGAACCTCCAGTACAAGTTGACTATAGAGACACACTGAAGGGAACTAGAAATTCCTAGAAAGATGTTCTCTCGGGTGTATTAATTCATGGTTTTCGAGTTTTGTAGGGGCCTTGTGCCTTTATCTCTAGCAAATGGCTAACTGCATAATTTAGTAGGCAATTTTCTAAATAATTCAGTAAATAAAACAAAAAGTGGGGAACACATTTTATATCTGGACAATAAGCTAGAGATTCATCTTCCCCTGCCTTGCACCTCAGAACATGACAAATTTTGGCACTATGATGTAGGTAATACTGTTGTTAGTTTGCCATTATGGTTTTTTATATGCAATGGATCTAAGGTTCAAAATCAGCTTCAAGGTAACTAGTAGGCAACCTCCGCAGCTCACAGTGTTTAGCAGCCCATAGTCCCTGTCCCCAGAATTCAAAACCTTACCTCTTTGGAGGAATAGCCTGGCACTAGTCTTGCCACACTGTCCCAGTTGATTGGTTGAGGGACCCCAAATAAAGAGTAAAGGATCATATCCAAAACCATTTGATTGTTGTCATATGGAAAGTTATTGTTCTCTGAATACCCACGGCTCATTTTTGGCACTAGAAAGGAAAAGACACAAAAGAGCCATGAAAAGGCACTCTGCTTAAAGAACTCTGCTTTGCCTCAACTAGACAGTACATTTGTTTATCTGTGCCTTCAAGTCGTCTGTGTACGTGCGGTGACTCCATTAACTACATAAGGTTTTCTTAAGCAAGGAATACTCAGAGATGATTTTGATAGTTCCTTCCTCTGATGTGTAGCCTACACCACCTGGTATCCGTTGGCAGTCTCCCTTCCATGTATTTACCAGGGCTGACCCTATTAGCTTCCAAAATCAGACAGAATCTGGTGCCTTTAGAATCTGGTGCTACAAGGCATCTATTACTGATCTTTTCATTGAATAATACAGAGATTAAACTCCATAACACAATTTTAATAGTCAGTACCCCATAAAAACATTACCTTTTGGGTTTTTTAAAAATAAGACAAACATTTTAAGATTGCAAAGTAAGATTGCCCTGCTTAAAATAAATGGTATTGCTTTTAATAATTTGATAAATAAACTGTTGGGGGAGAGAACTGTACATAACTATTTATAGTCTCCTAAATACCAAGGAACCAGATTCCACCTGATCTTGGAAGCTAAGTAATGTCAGCCCTGGTTAGTACTTTGATGGGGGACTGCTAAAAGAATACCAGGTGCTATAGACTGTATTTCAGAGAAAGAAACTAGCAAAATCACATCAATGTAACTCACGGGTCTGCATAATTTGACAGGTGACTTGAAGGCATATACACGCACATTTCTGAAATAATAAATCACACCAGAAAGCAATCATGTGAGAATTTCTGAAGGGGAGAAAAAAGGAGGATAGCAGAAGAAGGGAAAGAAATAGGGGTGTGTGATATATATACATATATATATGTGTGTGTGTATGTATATATGTATGTATGTATGTATGTGTGTGTGTGTGTGTGTATATATATATATATATATATATATATATATGAGAGATAGTTGAATATTTTAGATGCAGTAATCACTGTCACAATGAACCGCGAACTTATAAGCAACTCTAGATTGCATATTATGCTTTGCAAGTTACAATACAGTCAGAGAAGTCAACTTGTGAGACATGCCACCTGCTCAGGTACCTTTGCTATACAGAAAATGCAACTATGGAAGACTTGGCACCAAGACAGACAGAAAAGTTAAATATATCATTGTGAATATTATTTAATTTTGGGACTAGTAACAAAAAATTGATCTTGCTACCCATGATACATAACCAGCTGACCTTAAAATGCTCACTGACTTGTAAATGCCCTGTTGTGACTCAGGATGTAACTAAATATAAGCATATGTCACTGATATAAGGCAATGCTTCTCTGTTAACCCCTGTCTTCCTTCCTCCTCTTGAATATCTTACAAAAAATGCAAACTCTAAGCTCCTTAGGACAAAGGCTAATCCTCTTTACTCTTAAATGCACCGCCCTGAAGCACCATCATAATTAATACCCGTCTACTGAATCACCTAAACTGGGATCTACAGGCCAATGGATACTCCACCTCAGATATCAGAAGAGCTTCAAGACTGAGAACAAGCCACGAGAGTAAAGACAAAGATCCACCCAGAGGAAAAGTGTTCTTGCCATACATCAAGGGAACCACTGCCAATGTAGGGAAGTTGATGAGGAAGCACAACATACAAACTATCTACAGACCCACCAAGAAAATCCCACAACTGCTACGTTAAGCAAAGGACAAGAGGGATCCTCACACTTCTGCAGGAGTCTACCATATACCGTGCAGCTGTGGACAAGTCTACATAGGGACCACCAAACGCAGCATTACCCAAACACAAATTAAGGAACATGTAAGACACTGCAGACTACTTCAACCAGAGAAGTCAGCCATAGCAGAGCACCTGATGAACCAACCTGGACACAGCATATTATTTGAGAACACAGAAATGCTGGACCACTCCAACCACCACCTTGTCAGACTACACAGAGAAGCCATTGAAATCCACAAGCATGTGGACAATTTCAACAGAAAGCAAGAAACCATGAAAATGAACAAAATCTGGCTACTAGTCTTTTTAAAAAAACCTAAAATTATAAGAGTTACCAAAGAACAAAACTTAAACACCGAGCAACTCCAGACAAGAAACAAACAGGAACACCTAATCACCTCTCGACAAAGGATTCCCCTCAGGCAGTAACAAGACACATTGTCGAAGGCTTTCATGGCCGGAATAACTGGGTTGTTGTAGGTTTTTTCTGTTGACCTCACTACCTCTGAGGATGCTTGCCATAGATGCAGGTGAAACGTCAGGAGAGAATGCCTCTAGAACATGGCCATACAACCTGAAAAAACCTACAACAACCCACATAAAAATTGTCAGGCCATCAAAGGCTAATCAAGGTGGCGAATTGAAACATTCACACCTATCTCCAACAGACAAGAGCTCTTTCTTCCACCTTGGACCTTCCACAGATATATAAACCCAATTTTCCTAGTTCCCAACAAACCTCACAACCTCTGAGAATGCCTGCCATAGATGGAAGTGAAACGTCAGGAGAGAATGCTTCTAGAACATGGCCATGCAGCCCGAAAAACCTACAACAACCATGTGGTCCACAGTTGTATCAGCACCAATTGTAAAGGCAAGACACATCTATGAATGGAACACACTTCTTCCCATTCCCCCTAGACAATCACATATGACAACAAAGGAGCTACCATTAAAAGCCTTTAGTCCAATGTCATTACAAAGTGACAAGAAGAGGACAAAACCAAAATTAGTTAGCTCCATCTATTGTTGACTTTGAGTGCATCCTCACATTTATTTATTTATTTACTTCACTTGTATACCGCTCTTCTCAACCATCAGGCGACTCAGAGCGGTTAACAACCAGTATCAACAACACAGTATAAAATCATTAATCATTTAAAACAGTAATATCAATTAATTAACATCAGGACATCAATACAACAATACAGGAAAACAACAATCCATCACGTCTCATCAATAGAATCAGCATCCGATCTCGTTGTCCATTAATCCATATTCCAGTAATCAATCAATTGCACTGCTTAGTTGAAAGCATGTTCGAAGAGCCAGGTCTTCACTCTCTTCCTGAATGCCAATAAGGAGGGGGCCGATCTAATGTCTGTAGGAAGGGCGTTCCACAGCCGGGGGGCCACTACTGAGAAGGCCCTGTCTCTCGTCCCCGCCAGGCGTGCTTGTGAAGCCGGCGGGATCGAGAGCAGGGCCTCCCCAGACGATCTTAATTGGTTCATAGGAGGAGATGCGTTCGGACAGATAGGTCGGGCCAGAACCGTTTAGGTTACCTTGCCTTTCCAATCCTGAATAACATCTGCCATCACTAATTTAATACCTCCACTAAGAGGTGCAAGGTATTAAAGCTCTTACAATTACACATTTCAAACAAGACCTCAGTATAATACAGAAAAATACAATATAATAGAGAAATAAAATAAAGAGGAGCAAAGAAAATCAATAAGACAATAAAATGGGAAGATATATTTGGAGCATGCCTAAAAATCATAAGGAAAGGGATTCAGTGAATTTGCTCAATTCTTTCTTAACCCTCCCAAACTAAGGAAGGCGGGAGTAACAGTAATAAGTTACTTGGTGGCCATGTGAAAGACATCATGGTATATTCAATGCACTCATAGTCCAGGAAAGAATGACCGAGAGGTGTGGGTTCTGTTCTTTGTGAGGACGGGATTCCACTCATCTCCATTCCACCACACAGACGATTCTGATGGAGGGCAGACCTCATCCTGTCTGAGGTAGGAGATGTAGGTTTTTTCCCTTTACAAAGTACAAGAAGAGTACTGTATATATCAGGCATGGGCAAACTTCCAAAACACATGGAGGGCCAAAGTTTGCCCATACCAGTGTAGCTCAATAGAAGTCATCTTGAATAGTTCAGCTTCCCTTTCTAAATGTTGACGTTAACACTAGAAGGGAAAAAAGGATTCAGTAAAGAAACAAGGATTTCTTAAATAACTACAGGCAGTCCCCAAGTTACAAACATCCAACTTATGACTCATAGTTAAGAACAGGGGTGAGACAACAGGAAGTGAGAGAAACCTACCCCTCGGAAGTTATCATGGGGGAAAGGTGTATCCAGTGAAGCTTTCTCACCAATCTTTGTTTCCACAGCAAGCCAAATTTTCCAAAATTCAATTATCTCAGGGACAGAAACTGAGATGAAATCTTCTGAACAGGAGCACAAAACAAACACCACAGGACTGTTAATCTTTCCCTATGCTATCCAAAGCTCACTCACTCTATCTGTCTGTCCATGAAACTAGGCACTTGAATCCATGAACAATACAAAAGCATATCCCACAGGTAAAACATGAGCTAGGAAGACCTTGGTGCGTGAAACTTGGCAATATCCCAACGTTGCCTCTACTGAAGCAATTGTCTCTCACAAATCATTATAAACTCTTCCTTGACTCCATAACTGCTAGAAACAGATTCTTTCTTAGTTTCGGTTTACTATCTATCTTCTGTTGATAAATAATGATTTTTTCCCAGCTGGTGTAGTGTTTTAAGTCAGAGGTGATTCTGCCCTGGATTTTACCCAGCTGGGTAAAATCAGCAAGCAGTTTATTTAGGAATATATGTAGCCAAAGCAGTAAAAAGTAATCCACAGTAAAAGTAATCCAATTTAGCTCATCAGATACAAAGGAAGACAGGAACAAAGAGTCCAAGGAAATCCATGGAACTAGGCACTTGAATCCATGAACAATACAGAAGCATGTCCCAAAGGCAAAACATGAGCTAGGAAGACCTTGGTGCATGAAACTTGGCAATATCCCAACGTTGCCTCTACTGAAGCAATTGTCTCTCACAAATCATTATAAACTCTTCCCTGACTCCAAAACTGCTAGGAACAGATTCTTTCTTAGTTTTATTTCACTATCTATCTTCTGTTGATAAATAATGATTTTACCCAGCTGGTGTAGTGTTTTAAGTCAGAGGTGATTCTGCTCTGGATTTTACCCAGCTGGGTAAAATCAGCAAGCAGTTTATTTAGGAATATATGTAGCCAAAGCAGTAAAAAGTAATCCACAGTAAAAGTAATCTAATTTAGTTTATCAGATACAAAGAAAGACAGGAACAAAGAGTCCAAGGATATCCATGAAACTAGGCACTTGGATCCATGAACAATACAGAAGCATATCCCACAGGGAAAACATGAGCTAGGAAGACCTTGGTGCATGAAACTTGGCAATATCCCGACGTTGCCTCAACTGAAGCAATCGTCTCTCACAAATCATTATAAACTCTTCCCTGACTCCAAAACTGCTAGGAACAGATTCTTTCTTAGTTTCGGTTTACTATCTATCTTCCGTTGAATTCGAGCTAAGCGTCTTAATTGCTGCCTGCACTGCCTCTGTTTACTAAAACTTCAGACACAATCACACTATCTATGACTATCTATGTGGACATGCAGTAACATTATGTTTCCCGTTCTTGAGTTGGAAGTATACACTATCTATGACTGGTATTACACTTTAAAAGGTACCTGTTCGAACTTACAAACAAATTCAATTTAAAACCAAACGTACATAGCCTATCCTGTTCATAACTTGGGGACTGCCTGTACTTGTCAAAACACAGCTATTAGTCTTATTAGTCTTATGGGTCCAATCCAGAAAAGCATGGCATTGTGGCCACCAACCCTACTGATTTGGTGTTCCTACTGATCAGGCACATGGGCTATGAATTAAGTATTTTACATAGAGAATAAAAAATTACAAGGCTTTCTACTTTCAAGTGAGGAAGGAATTAAAATTCCTTCCTGTTTGCCACCCACTTCCAAGTAGTGCTGCCCTGTCTACTGGTCCAACCAGGACCTGTTGTGAAGCTTTGTCCTTTTTTCTCATGCAGTATGAATTTCTCACTATACAAAATTTATTATAATAAATTGAGCTTCTGTGAACTGCCCAGACAGCTACTAAAAATACCTCAGTGAGTGTTCAGTATACAAAGCAAATACAATATCTCAGCACCTTTCCAGCTCCGAGGCCTCTTGGGCAAAAAAATGACAGGTCCTCTAACCTATGAAGACAGTTCTAGACAGGCATGAAGCTCTTGTCTAGCAGCTACATGCTCTGTTAAGGGCAGCCAAGACTTGTCTCTCCAGTAAGTGATTTTTAAAAATCATGTCAAAAGTGACTTGAGAAACGGCAAGTCGCTTATGGTGTGAGACAATTGGCCGTCTGCAGAGACATTGCCCAGGAGACGCCTGTGGGAGGCTTCTCTCATGTCCCTGCATGATTAAGTGATATTAATTAATATTAATATGAATAAGTAGGAAAAACAAGTTCTGTCAACTCAAGCTTTCTTGTATAGGCATTTTGAAAATAATGGGTACCATATTGGGGACGTTTTCATTAATGACATCTGTACTTGTTGACCAGGTAACACAGATTAAATACTTATAACAGACTTGGGTCATCCAGCTGTTTTGGACTTCAGCTCCCAGAATTCATGACAGCTGGTAAGAAGGCTGGGATTTCCAGGAGTTGAAGTACAAAACCCCTGGAGACACAGAGGTTGGGAACCACTGATTTATGGGAACTTAGGAAGTACTGTGGCAACATTGGATGTGAGAGCTGGACCTTAGGGAAGGCTGAGCGAAGGAAGAGAGATGCTTTTGAACTGTGGTGTTGGAGGAAAGTTCTGAGAGTGCCTTGGACTGCGAGAAGATCCAACCAGTCCATCCTCCAGGAAATAAAGCCCGACTGCTCATTGGAGGGAAGGATACTAGAGACAAAGTTGAAGTACTTTGGCCACATCATGAGGAGACAGGAAAGCCTAGAGAAGACAATTATGCTGGGAAAGGTGGAAGGTAAAAGGAAGAGGGGCCGACCAAGGGCAAGTTGGATGGATGGCATCCTTGAAGTGACTGGACTGACCTTGAAGGAGCTAGGGGTGGTGACAGCCGACAGGGAGCTCTGGCGTGGGCTGGTCCATGAGGTCACGAAGAGTCGGAGACGACTGAACGAATGAATAAGTCCACTTTAGCAGATACTTTCTTAAATCACAGCTATTCATAGACATGTTAAGGAGGAAGAATTTCAGCTAACTCCATTGTTTATAATCTATTCACCCACAACATCTAAATCGGTGGTCCTCAAACTAAGCCCCCCCCCCCCAAGGTCCAAATTCATCCTTAGGGATACCAAGGTTAATTGTTTATAAAACTACTGTCCTCCCAACCCTGCTATACGTCTGTGAAATGTTTACTGTCGACAGAGGTCACATGCAACTCCTGGAATAATTCCATCAGCGTTGCCTCTGAAAAATCCTTCCAATCTCTTGGGAAGACAGGTGAACAAATGTCAGCATGCTGGAAAAAGCAAAGACCACCAGCACTGAAGTGATGGTCTTCCGCCATCAACTCTGCTGGACTAGCCATGTTGTCCAAATGCCCGACCACCATCTCCCAAAGCAGTTACTATACTTCCAACTCAAGAACGGGAAACATAATGTTACTGGATGTCGACAGATGTCACCCTCAACTCCCGGAACGATTCCATCAGCGTTGCCTCTAAAAAAAATCCTGCAAATCTCTTGGGAAGACAGGTGGACAAATGCCTGCATGCTAGAAGAAGTAAAGACCACAAGCACTGAAGCGATGTTCCTCCGCCATCAACTCCGCTGGACTGGCCACATTGTCTGAATGCCTGATCACCATCTCCCGAAGCAGTTACTATATTCCCAACTCAAGAATGAGAAACGTAACGTTGGTAGACAGGAAAAGATTTAAGGATGGTCTTAAAGTCAACCTTAAAAACTGTGGCATAGACACCGAGAACTGGGAAGCCTTGGCCCTTGAGAGTTCTAACTGGAGGTCAGCTGTGACCAGCAGTGCTGCAGAATTCGAAGAGGCATGAATGGAGGACGAAAGGGAGAAACGTGCCAAGGAAGGCACGTCAAGTCAACCCTGACTGGGACCGCTTTCCATCCGGAAACCGATGTCTTCACTGCGGGAGAATATGTGGATCAATAATAGGGTTCCACAGTCACCTAGATATCCACCGACAAGACACTACACTTGGAGGACCATCATCCTCGAGCTACAGGGGATCGCCTAAGTAAGTAAGTAAGTAAGTAAGTAAGTAAAGTAACATCAAGCCAACCCAACTGGGACCACTTTCCACCTGGAAACCGATGTCCTCAAACCGGGAGAACATGTGGATGAAGAATAGGACTCTACAGCCACCTACAGACCCACTGCCAAGACACTACACTTGGAGGACCATCATCCTCGAGCTACAAGGGATTGCCTAAGTAAGTAAGTAAAGTAACATCAAGCCAAGCCAACCGGGACCACCTTCCACTTGGATACCGATGTCCTCACTGTGGGAGAACATGTAGATGAAGAATAGGACTCTGCAGCCACCTACAGACCCACTGCCAAGACACTACACTTGGAGGACCATCATCCTCGAGCTACAAGGGATTGCCTAAGTAAGTAAAGTAACATCAAGCCAACCCAACTGGGACCACCTTCCACCTGGAAACCGATGTCCTCACTGTGGGAGAACATGTAGATGAAGAATAGGACTCCACAGCCACCTACGGACCCACTGCCAAGACACTACACTTGGAGGGCCATCATTCTTGAGCTGCAAGGGATCGCCTAAGTAAGTATGTAAAGTAAGTTCTTAGAATTGAAAGGAATCATCCCATATAGAGAACTGCATCCTAACCCTTTTCAGCAAAGACTGAAGCTCAGAAAAATCATAAGACCACGTGGCAGAAAGCAGCAGCTTCCAAAAGTATTGAGGAGACTTCAAAATATCAATCAACCAAAACTTCATTACAGTCCAAAGCAGTGAAAGGTGCACAACTGCAAACAGATTAATAAACTTCAAAATATCAATCCCCTATGAGTTTTCGGACAGCCCCACTATTGCTGAAACAGAATGGAGAATATTAATAAAAGAAGAACTAGCACTCGTACTTACCTGGAATATGCTGTGGCAGAATCCAAGGAGAAAATGATGGATAGATAAATTACTCCTGGATTAAAAATGCAGTGAAATTGTCTCCCTCTTTTCCAACTCTGAGAAGACAAAAAGGAGGAAGGACAGGAGACCAAACAGATGTATCTTGAGGGGAGACAAAGAGCCAGAGGAAATCAGCTTCATGGCACTGACTCAGTGAATGGCTCGCTCAGTCCAGGATCACCTTAGCGCTTGCATCTGGTAGAAAAAACAGCAAAAAAGAGAGAAAGGAATAGCGTTGCACTCTAAACGGAGCCTGGCACCACCCATTCACACATCTTGCTATAACCTGGATGTCTCTTTCTTCCTATCTCTCCTTCCGCCAACCCATGCTGCTCATCTCTAATGCGCCAGAGGCGAAAGAAGCATTTGATAAATTCCAGGAGGCACTATGACTTGCATTCTTCTGTGTCTTGAAATCCTACTTTTTTTCTCTGTATCTTGAAACTATACAGCTAATTTGAGTCTCCTTTGAGTGAAAAAAGTAGGTATTTATTATTATGCAGACACACACCCATCTTCCTTAAAGAGCCATCATTTGTTATTTTTAACAAAGGGTTCCCTGGCTGTTAGGTATTGCAATGGAGGAGACTTTTCCACCTTGTTTCCTCTTTATGGGGGGAAAAGATGCAATAAAAATAAAATAGCTAGAAATAAATAAACAGCAATTAAGAAATAAAACAACTTATCATTTTTGTAGCAGACAAAATCGTATTAAATCCCCTTTACTTTATGTGTAAATCTATACAGCTGAGGAATGCAGTGCTTCAAACCCCTTTATAGTAAACTATGGAGCTGAAGAATTAAGTGCTTCAAAACCCTCCACTAAAGTTCCTATATTAACTATTATATGCAATATTATCATATTTATATCCTGCTGTCACCCTCCAATAAAGTTAATATATTAACTAGTATATATTAATATATGTATCATATATATGTATGTGTGTCTTAGCTATATATTTATATCCTGCTTTCACTCTCCAACAAAGTTCTTATATCAACTTATATATTAACATATATATGTATCATAATATATGTGTGTGTGTGTGGGTGGGTGGGTGTGTCTAAGCATTATTATTAACATATTTATATCTTGCTTTCCCCTCCAATAAAGTTCCTATATTTAACTAGTATATATATTAATATGTGTCATGTGTGTGTGTGTCTTAGCAATATTATCATCTGTATATCCTGCTTTCACCCTCCAATAAATTCCTATATTAATACACACACACACACACACATATATATATAAAAAATTATTTATATATATATACTTTCTCGTCTATGTCTAGAGGATCAAGTCCAGCGTGACCAAAAGTCATCATGGATAGTGGCTCTATATATGTCTTAGCTATATTATCATATTTATATCCTGCTTTCACTCTCCAACAAAGTTCCTATATTAACTTATACATATTGATATATATGTATCATAATATATATATGTTCATGTGTAAGCAATATTATCATATTTATATCCTGCTTTCACCCTCCAATAAAGTTTTTATAGTAACTAGTTTATATATGTGTGTGTGTGCATGAGAAATATATATATATATATGTGTGTGTCTTAGCAATATTATCATATTTATATTCTGCTTTCCTTTCTTAAAAGAGACTCAAAGAAGCTGTCAACACCAAAAACAATACAAATATTTATTTATTTATTTATTTCCCACTTTATCTCTCTATACGGAAACTCAAAGCAGCTCACAATCAAAAACATTACAACTTAAAATATACAAATATGCAATAATAAAACAGTATATTATTATATATTATCAATAGTAATTATATTTGACCTATTAGTATTACTATATTACAATATTATCATTATATATTATCATATTGTGCAAAAATAAAACCATATTATTATATATTATCAATAGTAATTATATTTAACCTATTAGTATTACTATATTACAATGTTATCATTATATATTATCATATTGTATTATTTTTAGCATTATATTGTATTGCAGTATAATATTATTATCAATATTATTTATATATATAACATATATTATTAGCATAGCACAATATTAGTATTATATATTGATATATTGCACTGTACCACTATACTGCCATATTATTAGCAATGTCACATATCATATATAATATACAATCATTATATTATATTATATTGCAGTAATATACAATTATTATATTATTATATATTATTATATTGCACTATATTATTATATTAGTATTATATATGAATATATTGCACTGTACCACTATACTGCCATATTATTAGCAATATCACATATCATATATAATATACAATCATTATATTATTATGTATTGCAGTAATATGCAATTATTATATTATTATATATTATTATATTGCACTATATTATTATTATATTAGTATTATATATTAATATATTGCACTGTACCACTATACTGCCATATTATTAGCAATGTCATATATCATATGTAATATACAATCACTATATTATTATATATTGCAGTAATATACAATTATTATATTATTATATATTATTATATTGCACTATATTATTATATTAGTATTATATATTAATAGACTGCACTGTACCACTATACTGCCATATTATTAGCAATATCACACATCATATATAATATACAATCATTATATTATATTATATTGCAGTAATATACAATTATTATATTATTATATATTATTGTATTGCACTATATTAGTATTATATATTAATATATTGCACTGTACCACTATACTGCCATATTATTAGCAATATCACATATCATATATAATATACAATCCTTATATTATTATATATTGCAGTAATATACAATTATTATATTATTATATTACATTATATTATTATTCCACAATATGTGCAGTGTATTATATTATTAGTGTTATATAATATATTGTACTATATCATAAGTTGTCCTATATGTGATCTATTACAAAATTATTAGTATTATATATACAATATATATTAGTATTGCATGCCCACCTGCTTCTGCCAGCCTCCCTCCATTCTTTTCTCATGCAAAAGGAGTTAAAGCAAGAGGGGGGTGGAGCCCTTCAGTCACTCAAGGACGGCTCAGCCAATCCAAGCAAAGCCGCGCGCCGAACCCCGCCCCCTTTGGGTCCAAACGGACCAATCGCAAGGCCAGGGGGGAAAGAGGCGCGCGCCCTCCCTGTTTCGCTTTGTCGCAGTGCAGCGGCCACCACTCCCCTCCTTCAGCCCCTCCCCCCTCCGCGTCTGGTCGCCTAGCAACGGGCTGCCTCAGGCCTTGCCTTTTTTTTCCCCCACACTAGGATACCCTCACTTCCGCATCTGGTTGCTTAGCAACGGGAGGCTGCCTCAGGCCTAGCGCCTCCTTTTTGCCGTGCAGAAGCATTGCAGATATGTCTAGACTGTAGAATTAAAGCGGTTTTGGCACCCACTTTCACTGCCATGGCTCATTGCTATGGGAAACTGTGACAGAGAAGTGCATGTAAAACTACAGCTCCCAGGCTTGCATAGCATTGCCCCTTTGCAGTTAAAGTGGTATCAAACCGTGTTAATTCTACAGTGTAGACGCCCTGATTTGAAGGAGAGGTGGAGCTTGTAAAACTACAACTCCCTGTGTTAATTCTACAGTGTGGATGCCCTGATTGAAAGGAGAGATGGAGCTTGTAAAACTATAGCTCCCAGGCTTGCATAGCATTGCCCCTTTGTAGCTAAAGTGGTATCAAACCGTGTTAATTCTACAGTGTAGACGCCCTGATTTGAAGGAGATGGAGCTTGTGAAACTATAGCTCCCAGGCTTGCATAGCATTGCCCCTTTGTAGCTAAAGTAGTATCAAACCGCATTAATTCTACAGTGTAGACGCCCTGATTTGAAAAAGGGGGTTGGTACTTGTAAATCTACAGTTCCCAGGCTTGCATTGTCCTTTCACATTTAAAGTGTGTCAAACTGAGTTGGAGAGATGGAGCTTGTAAAACTATAGTTCCCAGGCTTGCATTGCCCTTTCGCATTTAAAGTGGTGTCGAACTGTGTTAATTCTACAGTGTAGACGCCCTGATTTGAAGAAGGGGGGATGGCACTTGTAAAACTACAGCTCCCAGGCTTGCATTGCCCTTTTGAAATCAAAGTGGTGTCAAACTGTGTTAATTCTACAGTGTAGTCACCCAGATTTGAAGAAGTGGGTGGTCAAAGTGGTGCCCGATCAAAGTGGTGCCTGGTCAAAGTGGTGGTGCCAGGTCAAATTGTTCCCTGGCCCAAGTTGTGCCTGGCCAAAGTGGTGCCTGGTCAAAGTGGTGCCAGGTCACAGTGGTGCCAGGTCAAAGTTGTGCCTGGCCAAAGTGGTGCCTGGCCAAAGTGGTGCCAGGTCAAAGTGGTGCCTGGTCAAAGTGGTGCCAGGTCAAAGTGGTGCCTGGCCAAAGTGGTGCCTGGCCCAAGTGGTCCCTGGTCAAAGTGGTCCCTGGCCCAAGTGGCCCCTCTTCAAAGTGTTCCCTGGTCAAAGTGATGCCTGGTCAAAGTGGTGCCTGGTCAAAGTGGTGCCTGGTCAAAGTGGTCCCTGGTCAAAGTGGTACTTGGTCAAGTGGTCCCTGGTCAAAGTGTTACCAGGTAAAAATGGTGCCTGGTTAAAGTGGTGCCAGGTCCAAGTGGTTCCTGGTCCAATGGTTCCTGGCCAAAGTGGTTCCTGGCCAAAGTGGTGCCTGGTCAAAGTGGTGCCTGGTCAAAGTGATGCCTGGTCAAAATGGTGCCTGGTCAAAGTGGTGCCCGGTCAAAGTGGTGCCCGGTCAAAGTGGTGCCCGGTCAAAGTGATGCCTGGTCAAAGTGATGCCTGGTCAAAATGGTGCCTGGTCAAAGTGGTGCCTGGTCAAAGTGGTGTCTGGTCCAAGTGGTGTCTGGCCCAAGTGCTTCCTGGCCAAAGTTATCCCTTGCTAAAGTGTTCCCTGGTCAAGTGGTCCCTGGTCAAAAAAAGGTTGAGAACTGCTGATTTACATGGTAGTTATAATTCCAGTTATGTGTCTAATAGCACCATGACGGCCCAATTGTATCCAGACTACCTAACCCTAACTGGAGGAAACCTCTGTGGAGGATGAACAGTTAAGTTTCCAAAAGCCAATACTGTTTCCCAGTCCACAGCCAAATCACTTTGTTCCTTTTCTTTTTCTCTGCTCTGGAACTGAAAGGAGTACTTTTTAAAGGTTCAAAATTATTTTAAGTTGGATAATTAAGGGGTATGTGTGCCAAATTTGGTCCAAACAGTATACATAGGTTGACTTTTATAGATATATATTTGATATATATTCCTGCATGTCAAGATGATGGGTGGTTGGATTGCCCTTGTAGTCTTTTGATCTATAAATTAATGACCTCCTTTTCAGATTTTTAAGAAATCGCAGTTTGCATTTCTATTGACAGATACCTCAGAGCCTTTGACGACCGCCATCATGACCCACGCGAAGTCTCGTAATCTTAAAAAGAATGTATATGCCATGAATGCTCCCGATCCATATAAATATGGTGGACCCGACTCATTCCGTACGCATTGCAATGTGAAGCCAAGGGTTCCCCCTTGCATCGTTGGGAAAAAAGCTGGAATTCAAGAAACAAGATCATCCGTCAAAGTTGCAAGCAATCTCATAGCAGAAGGAAAGACACATGTCAATAAGTTGTTTCAGGTAAGGGTTTCCTGTTTCTTACATAGCTATTTGTTTTGGAAGTCAAACTTTCATTTGTGTTCAGAAACTAAGAAAAATACCCAATATCCAGGGGCGGCTCATCCATTACACAAAGTAAGCGGTCGCAGTACACTTTTTCTTGCCAGGGGCGCAGAGGCGCCTCTGTAAATGCCCCTCAATCACCACTTGAGGAGCGCCCCCTCGGCTAACAACAGCCCTAGCAGTCCAGGGGAAGCCTCAGCAACCTATTATGCAAAGTAAGCATTTGCAGGATAGTTTATTGTGCCCAGGGGCACTCTTGAGGCACTCTTGGGGGAAAATAGACCTTGACATATGCGAGTTGTAGTTACTGGGATGTATCTACACTGTAGAATTGATGCAGTTTGACATCACTTTAACTGCCATGGCTCAATGCTATGCAATCATGGAAGCTGAGTCTCCTTCTGGAGAGATAAAGTAGGGTATAAATAAATATAGTAGTAGTAGTAGTAGTAATAATAATAATTGTATAGATCTTGAGCATTCTCTGTGAAAGATTGCTGATGCTTTATCAAACTTCAAATCCATAACATTGAACCATTGCAGTTAAAGTGTTGAAAACTGCATTCAGTCTACAGTGTAGAAAGATGCACCCCACTTAATTTGCTTTTGTTGCCCTCCCTTTTATTTATTTACCCTGCCTTTTTCAACCCCTTAGGGACTCAAGGCAGCTTACATATATAGGCAACGATTTGATGCCATGTAAGCATACATGCATAATAAAATAAACATATATATTAAAACAATAATTTTAAACATATAAACCCTAAAACACTATTAAAATCACATTATCCAAAATCATAATCCATGGCCATTCCAAACTACTAAGCGAATGCTTGATCTCACAACTATGTCTTTAGCCTTTTCCTGAAGGTCAGGAGGGAGAGGGCTGATCTGATTTCATTAGAGAGGGAGTTCCAAAGCTGAAGGGCCACCACTGAGAAGGCCCTGTCTCTCGTCCCCACCAACCACACCTGTGAAGGAGACGGGATCAAGAGCAGGGTCTCCCCAGACAATCTTAACCTTTTAGCTGGCTCATAGAGGTAGACACGTTCGGACAAGTAACCTGGGCAGTTTCAATAAAAAAGAAGCAGTGATTAGATAGTCTTCGCAAAGAAGTCTGTATAAAGAATGGCTTACAGTTCAATCGCGTAAATGTATACTTGGAAGTCAGTCCTAAATTAAATGGGAATGATTCCCATATAAATGTAAATGACCATGCCCCTATTGATTAGCAGCACGGGAATGTTAGTTTGTCTGTGTCAGACATCTTTGTTGGAATCATGTTACCTAGGCTGAACTGGCTCACTGAAATGAAAGTGTGAGGGGTCAATATGTGCATTACAATATTTGTTCAAATAAATGCCTGGCTGATTTATCTCTTTATCCCTCTGGACATGTTACTAGGGCGGCTTTAATTAATGTGCACTGCTAAACGAACATCAACAGGACCAAGCAGCTTATATGGGATTGTCATGTTAATTGTCAGATTTCATCCACTGACGCCTTTGAAAGTCCTGGTGTTTTTGATGCCAAATTTAATAATTTAATTTTTTATTAAATTAATAAATTTAATAATAATTTTATAATAATAATAATAATAATAATAATAATAATAATAATAATAATTTTACCTCTCTGTTTTAATTTTTCTTTATATTTTTTTCTTGGAACTTTTTCTCTCTTAAATTCCCTTCCTAAATTGCCTTTTGCTTTTTCAAAAAATGTTTTCTCTTAATTTTTCTTTTTTATATTTCTTTAAATGTATTACACTTATTCATGTTTTTATAATTTTCATTTAGTTACTTCCCTTTTTTGTATTTCTTTTACAATTTTCCAGTTTGCTAATATTTATTTTTCATATTAAAAGAAAATATTTATAATAATAATAAAATATGGTTGTTATTTTGAGTCACAATATCTCTGCGAGGCACATCTGGTGCCAGCTTGGATGGTGGGCACACACATTTCCCAGGATCTTAGAGGGAAAATAAGTGAAAGAAGAGCATCAGTGTCACGTTGCCAGGGCTCTGCCTTATTTAGGTAGAGATTAATCAAACTCCCAGTTTTAACAAACAGTTGAATTAAAACAGCACTTACTTGCTGGCTGTTTATATAGTCCAAAATATAAAACACAAAGATAGCATGCAGCTTCAGAATAAACAAAAACTGATAGCAAAAATAACTTCGTAGTCAAAAGGGTCCAGTCCAGTGGTCAAACGCCGAGAGTTTAATAAACAAAGTCCAGGGATCAATAGTCTATACCGTAGTCAAAAGCCAGTCCAAAGGTTCAAGGTTCCAGGATTCCAAGATTACAGGAGACAGGTCAGGATACCGAAAAATCCA